AACAATATATGTATAATAGACTATCTTGTTTCTCAATCTTTTCTAATGTACAGTAATAATAATTCCCCTGTATTTTGACCATCAAAATGGCTGGACATTTGACCCTCTACTAGTTTTTGATCCAGCAAATTTGTGTTCTAAGTCTACATCTCATCGTCTTTTTCATTTAGTTATGTATCTAAGGAACACACATGGATGACATCATGCTCTCTCTCTCTCTCTCTCTCTCTCTATCTTCCTAAATGGCTTTACGCCTAACGTGGTATTTGGCTATGCTCCAGATATTATTATTATTACTATACAATGTAGAAAATAAACATATAAAATATTGCATTCTATACATTATTATTATCAACAATTGTAATTTACACTTTTTTATTTGTAGTGCCTTTACTATAGAACTCGGATCAGCATTGACAGTTTTAACAGCATCTAATCTTGGAATTCCAATAAGCACAACACATTGTAAGGTGGGATCTGTGGTGGCACTCGGTCTATATCGATCCATATCTACGGTAGACTGGCGGTTGTTCCGAAACATTGCCATATCATGGTTCCTCACTGTACCGGCATGTATAGGATTCAGTGCAGCTGCCATGAAGCTACTAATCTTCACTGTTTAAAGCTTGGTTTTCATACAATCGCTACACACTATGATTGCCGACACCTTTTCTGATGCTGATTGGTTGGTTGAATTGGGGAGCCTTCTCATCTACGCAGTACGATTGCACTGAAAACTGGGCCCCGCCCCATCAACAGATAGGTCAACCACCCTTGACGTTCGACCTGCGTTTGCATATTACAGTATGATTTCCAGTAAGCATCACTAGCTAACGGAATACGGCGGTAGGCCTAGTAGGAATGATTTGTGCCTTTGTGAGTGAAGAATATTTGTACTGAATCGATGCTGAATATGAAGTATATGCCTACCTAGGCCAGGGCCTATACCGATAGCATTCTGCTAGCGTCTTCAGTGGAGATTTGATAGGGTGTGCCTGGCTAGCTACTGTAGGCCTAGCCTGGTTTAGGCCTACTTCTTTCTGCTATCTAATACCCATTTCACACAAGCAGAAAATATTACAACTTTTAACAATTATTAACAAGTTGTAACAAGTTTGATATTCCGAGATTTTTGGTTCGTTTCACACATGCACTTTCAAACCATGGTCTGTTTTGTTCCGAGATAACTCAGGGGACCCCTGTGAAATCTCGGAAAGTTTTACAAGGATTTGCTTTCATACTCATCCAAACCTGGTTACAACTTGTTACAAGTTGTTAATATTTGCAAAATAGCATCAGTGTGAAATGGGTACTAGACGAATCCCAGGCTACTGTAGACAGGCGTACGGAACCCAAACCTGCCTGAAATTGATCGATTTCGGCCTAGCTAAGCTAGACTCGGATAAGGAGGAGTCTCTGTAATGTCATCCTTTTCAGCAATTCCCCCTCCCATGAAAAAATCAAAGAAGAGAAAGACAAATCCAGATGAGGAGCTAATTGATAAATCCATGCAAATACGCTCGTCTACAAATAGTAAGGGCCCTGAAGACCATTTCGGTTTGTATGTGGCCGCTTAACTCAAGAGAATCGGTGATCGAAAAAAAAAATTAATCAAATTAAATTGAAAATACAAGCAATACTTTGTGAATCTGAAGAATGAGATTCTAAGAAATCAACAAATATGACTGCTTCATATTCTTGGTTCTTGCTACAGTATTTGCATAGATTTGATTTTTTTATTGCGTACTATATTATAAAATGTTAATTACTATGAATGAAAAATTCTACGGTAATTTTTATTTAATGTTGTTGCTATTTCTAAATTAGACTTCTGTGAATGCTGTGATTAATACCGTATCACTGAATCATACAGGCTCTACATAATTTTATGTTTGCTTGAAAATCAACATTTTTAACAGAAACATATTCAGGATTCAGATCTAATGAAAATTGGATGGATCAGGACTGCACACAGAATTTTTATTGGGTGGGTGCAAATTCCTAGAGAGTGGACCAGAACAGCTCCTGGGCATGAGGAAACTTCACCATTTACCAAATTTTCAATTTTTGAACCAGGTTTTGCCGATCTCTTCTTATCTCTATTAATTACTGCTTCAGGGAATTTTGTAACAAGATTAATAGTGAAGCTCATTAGTTGTGAATAGTCCATAAGACTAGCACAATTAAATCAAAAACCATGTTGTAACTTCTAACATGTCATTGATTTTTAAAATTCAAAAGCATATCTATTATGATTTTTATCTGAAATTATAGCTAAGGTAATAAAAATCAGAGCTCAAGCATTTTTGGATAATTTGAGGTCTTTATTTAATCGATTTTTGCTATTTATTTAAAGTATTGACACTACTGAATCTAATGGAAATCAGATAGAATACAATAGCAGATTATATGAATAACAATGCATTATATTTAAAGTTCTGGCTAATTATAAAAATATTCATTTAATTTTAAAGTATTATATACTAGAGTACAGTATTTAATGAAAACTGGATGGAGTGCAATGGCAGATTATGAATAACAATGCATTTTATATTCAGAATTTATACTATTTATAAAAATATTATTTTGATGGAATGTATCAATAAAGTATAGTGTTTTTGCACATTATTGGTGTTAAATGTTTACTTGTACTTGAAGAAAGGACATACAGTCATACAAAACAAAATAGGATGTGTGGAACATAGACAAAAGCAAAGACACTAAACTCTATACCATGACTTTTAAAAAAATCATACAGGATTGAGATAGTAGATATTTTGACATGTATTTGAAAGGTTTTTGAAAGCGGTTGTTTACCTTCATGTACTCATCTTTTAGGCTGTTGTAGATTGCCTCGCATACTTCAGGAATTAACCTGCTGAGAGACTGCTTCGAAACCCTATGTTGATAGGCCAAGCTTGTGTAAGATTCTCCTGAAATAAATATTAATGTTATACAGTGACAAGCAAGCAGCAACTACGTCTGTCGCCTAGATTAGCCTAAAGTAAAGGTTTGGCCATGTTACTATTTCATAATAAAAGTCAAAGTACAAATTATGATTAATACTAATACCAGTAGCCAGGAACCACAATGTTACACTTAAAACGGTGATGTGCTGGGATTACTTCCCGCAAGTTGGTATCCTTCTTGCTAATAGTAGGTCCCACAAGTTCCAACAAATGGTCAAATAGTATGTAATCCATTCTTATATAATTCTCAAACCAATTCTCAAACCCCTTCCTATCTTCCGATCTTAACTCTCTCATTAGTGTCTCGCATGCTCCTAATTCATTTCTTCTCAAGCCAAGGCTTAATCCACATCCTCTTTTCTTTTTTATTTTCTTCCTTCTCTCTCTCTTCCACTTTAACATAATCCCAGCAATTAGACACACAGCAGCCACCTCCTCCTGTTCCTCCATCTTTCTACTATTTGATCAACTTTGATGTAAAAAATTTGATAGTATGGACGTTTAAAATTAAGAAACACCTTTTGACCAATAAGCAAACACTAAAAGTCACACCAACCAATCGGATTTGATAATTACATTTCATCCAAGTACATCACATTATTTGACAAAGCTTAAAGCCCTATTCAGACTATCACATTTTATTTGACAAAAAACTGTTGTATGTCGATGTAAAGTAATGGTCTGCCTATATAATATGGTCATGATCACATCACATATTTACAGTAGGCATGTCAAATTTGCTAATCTGGACTGGGCTTTAGATTGGGTCATTTCCTCTCATATCTGTCATTACACCTTTAAAATATTTTTTAAACCATATTTATAGAGGTTGACCCTTCCAGCATATCCCAGAAGGTCAGTTGATTTTCAGGGACCCACGTAAATAATATATGTCATATGTGACTTAGTTGGTGTGCGCCTTCATCTCGATTGATGGTTTTTCGACCTCATCTTCGTATCCAAATGGCCTCCCTGATGCATCTTTCTGATTCATTGCGGTTTTGACTAATTAAGTTCTTCCTCTGTTGGGTTATCCTTTCAGTTTCTTTCCTATTAAGTCACATATATGACCCTGTAATTAGACAGAATATGCCCTCTAGAGGTCAGTCTGTTTAGTTACAGGTCTTCATTCTTCTGAAGAATCTGCTCGTGTAAAGAACAGACTGTCAAGGTAGTTTTCACCATTCAAGTTTTCAATTTTTTGGTTTTGGGAAAAAGAAAACAAAATTATACCTTATTACTACAAACCAGATGAACGTTAACAATCAAAATAATATGATGCATAATAAGCGAAGTCTCATTACGAGGCTTAGGGAGTGGAGATGTTTTTAACAAAATCATGAAACTTTTGGTATATCATGTGTAAAAATATGGTTTTTGAGGAAAAACCACTGGTTGGTAGTTCTATGATTATATTTTTTTTACTTCAAACCTTCAAGAAATAATAAAATGTCTTTTAGTCGTGAGAAAAATATCCTGTGATGTTACAGCATTTGAACCCAGGACCCTGGGATTGGAAGGCAAGCATTAAGCTACATTTCCACTACTATTACACCTCACTACCTAGTGTTAGTTTGAAATAGGCTAAGAGGTGTGGCGCGTCTCTTGTACTATTGCACACACTTGGGGACTAACTCAAAATACGAGAGGACTCGGTTATCATTTCCAACATTACGAACAAGTTTATTGGGTTCCAACATACCCTGAGTAACAATGTAACATCAGAACGAGCACTCATCACATCGTCGTCCATCTTTCCGTCTCCAAGGAACTCGCCCTGGAGAGGGCGCTACCCACACATAAATAAACAGTGCAAAGCATTGCTCGCACGGACGTATCGTCACATTACCCCCCGCCCTCCAAAGCGAGTTCCACCGAGCTGAAAGACAGTTACACTAGAAGTATGCATCCAAATGCTAATAAAACATCAAACTTGTAAATCCAATCAAATGTCAAATTCACGTAAGTATCATAAAAACTGATAAGAAGTGGTATAGTGACTTCAAGTGCAGTACCAAAACCTTGGTGGGAGTGCATGCACTGGCCTATGCAAATAACACTCACTACCTGGGGCAGTTTGTGCAGGGGACACATAGTCATCATGGGGTAGCTAATCCCAAACAACCATGCACCCGACTACACAAACAATAGAAAGTTTGTGAGCTTATTAGATTTTTTTTTTTTTTTTTTTTTTTTACCATGAAAAATTTGAAAAACACTGAAAAGGTAAATATACCTCATTTAACATGTGTACAACCATGAATACAAAAAGTCAGAAGTATTATGCGAGTTTACCATGTAACTTCATACAAATGTACAGAGACTCTTTTGTATAACATGAGCAAAACATTTCTGGTCCTTATGGTTACTCAAATAGTAACATCATACAAAGAACTAATCACTGCGTACCAAATTTATACGCATAGATAGGCTACATACAGTGAGAAATTAAAACTGTTCTAGAAATACTTTTTCTTAGTGAACAATAGCATGTATAAACAAACATGTTAGCATAAATGTATAACTAAACTTTATGTCCAATATCAGAACAACAGCTGCATTCATTTAACTATTCCACTAACCTAGAATTTCATGCTCCAACCCATACTGTATATGTGCAGTTAAATGCACATTCTAATAAAAATTAGGTCCTATACCTAAAAGCAGTATAACAGGTGTCAATATAACACACATTGCCATATCACTTAATTAAAACCTCATCATTCACTGTTCAATAAAACAAATAATAATGAAGAATCAAGAAACAGAATACTACTCTCAGTACATTTAAAATAATATCCCAAGCATTCAGTGTTTGTTATTGCTACATGCATTCTGAGGAAAATATGCTTTGACAATGTGAAAAAAAAATTTTTGAAAATGTAACGGTATGTGCAAATAGCAAATACCCCTAAGTTGTCATAGGCACCGCAAACACATATCAACCTGTTATTTCATTTTAATATATATTTGTATGTCTTCTTTTTATGTTATGCTATTTTACTATTGATTTTGTTTTTGTATTGTTTGCTATTGTTTGTTTTTTTTTGTTTTTTGTTTTTGTTTTTTTTTTTTAACTTCTTTACAGGCACAACCTCTGTCATTTTTCCTTTGCGCGGTGGTTTATACACAGGTACCGCATGTGGGTCATCCACAAGTCTCTGGCATGCTGGATTTAAATCATTAAATGCGACCCAGGAATTATATTTGGATGGAAAGGAAAGCCATTCAACTCGATAATGCCATTGACCCTGGAAATATTTCTTATAGAGTATTTTCTCTATTTCAAACATGGGTGATTCAGATGTGTCTCCATTACCATCATGCTTAATTGGGGCAGGACCATCAGACAGTTGTTGTGTTGTATCACTTTGTAGCTCTGTTGTCAATTGTGCGTCCCTTGTCGTTGTATCATTTGTGTGTGTTACTCCAACAGTCTGTGTGACATCAGTGTCTTTCAGTTGCCCAGATTGTATATTACAATGCACAACATGCTTTAAACGGTTAACATGTACTTGCTGCTGATACAAAGTGTTGTCATCCACATGTCAAAGGCAAACATGTACATTAGACAGTTTCTCAACCACATAAAAGGGTCCTTGCCATGGTTTGGCAAATTTCTTAGTTTGTCCAGATTTTAAGACTGGAGTGTGCACACTGTGTCACCAACATGAAAAGTGTTATTCTGAACTTTTGCTGCTGTCTGTTTGACCATCGCTGCTTTACGGTCTTGTAGTGTCAATTCTGCAGCTCTTCGTGCAGCATCTAACTGTGGTAACAAATCCGCTATGTACTGTTGTGCAGATTTAGGAATATCCTCAAGAGCAGGAAGCTGATGCTCGAATGGTGTCCGCAAGTACCTTCCATATACAAGAAATGCAGGGGTGTATTCAGTGCTATCTAAACACAGTGATGTATTATGGACAAATTGTCTAAAAGGCAGGTATTTGTCCCATTCATTGTGAAAATCCTCCAGTTGCTTTGACAATGATGCTAAAATGAAAGACATGCACTGTTCAGTTTGTCCGTTACATTGGGGGTGGTAGGAGGTTGTTTGGGTCTTCTTTGTATCCATGAGCTGACATGTCGCCTGCACTATCTTAGTCAAATAATTTGATCCCCTATCAGAGTGTAAATAGCGTGGGGTGCCATGACGACACACAATGTTATGCAAGAAGGCTGTTGCAACAGTCACTGCTT